CAGGATTGAACTTGGATATCTTATATTGTCTTAACCCATTGGTCTTCTAGGGTCTCCTAATACTCACTAAAAGCCTGATGGCTCCATCTTCAAACAGACAAACAAACAAACAAACAAACAAACAAAAAACAAAACAAAACAAAACCCCGAAGACTGGCCTCTTGGGCAGTCCTCACTCTTCCTTGGGCCTGGTATTTCTCAACCTCCCAGGACACTCACTGTGTGTCTGCCTCCAAAGGGCCAGTGCCCCAACAGCAGGGACTTTACTATCTGGCCACTAGAGGCTCCGTAGGCTGTATACTCAGTACCTATGGTGGTCCCTGAGATGATGTGAAGGTGGTACCCTCCCACTTCCAAATGCCCTTTTGGACCTTGCCCCCATATTCCTGGCTCTGGTCACTCTCACCCCATGAATCTTTTCAAGTAACTATAGTATCTTGTCTATATAACTGTGCCTCCATGGACAGGCACCCCAGCTCACGAATGCTGCTGCCTACCCATAGGCAGGGCTCCTCTCTAGGCCTATGCCATGGCCTTGGATGTGCTCAGACTAGAGGGTGACTCTTAATACCTGAACCAGGTCCTGAGAGCCAATGGCTCAGGACCCTCCCCAAGTCCAACCCCAGGCTGTTAGATGTTGGGGTTCGGGGTGATAAGTCACAGGACCACCCCTACCTGCTGATGTGTGTGTAGTGGTTCTGAGCTCAGGGCACTTCTTGGGCAGCTCATCCTCCTAGGCCTGAGCACTAGGCTGGCCCAAACCAGTTATACCAGTGGCCGCCCCTGCAGGCTCCAGTGCCAAGTCCACTTCCTCCTCCCACCTGCTGCCCCAGGCTTCAGAGTTGGGCATGGTTGGGACCTTCTCTGGGGATAAGCTCTCAGGGGTGGGCACAGAGACAGGTGACCGGGAGACCCTTATGTGGTCTTGATTTTTATCAAGGAGGGGGAGGGTATGGGAGGCTCTTGCCTGAGGCAAAGTCAGGTGCAGACTAGACTTGTCATGCAGGTGGGGGCTGGGGGTAGAGAGAGTGTTCAGGCTGCCTGTGGAGGATGAAGCCCTCCCTGTGGTACACTTGGGTCCTGGGGCTTTATGGGAATGAGAGGTGACTGCAAATGGGTTAAATACCCAAGCCTCCATGCCCTCACAAACACGTAGGGGACAATCACACTTGCAGCTGTGTGAATCCTGGAGGTCTGCCTGGCTATGGATCTGGCTAGTCACATCTGGTGGGACAAAGACAGATTCCCTAGCTGTAAGTATCAAGAAAGAACGTCCCATGCACCTTCCACAAGTTTGGACAGTCTGAGGTCTGCTTTGATCATGAGGATTCCTTCAAAGGTCTTACGTGTGGCAACTTGAAGAAGTCCCCCACTCTCACTGCACACTGAGCCCAGGTTTGGGCACTGGACTGCCTCCTCTTTTGGATCTCAGGTCCCTCATTCATTAAACGAGATGTTGAGGCTGGCCTCTTTCTACATAATATAAATGTCATGGTTATAAAGGGTCTCAGATCTTGGGATAAAATGAGGCAGTGAAGCTGATAGGATATTCTGGAAGGTGTGACAGAGGAGAAGGCCATCTTGGGGGCTGCTGGCAGGGAATGGTGTCTTCTAAGTCAACCGTGGGGGTGCAGAAAATGCAGGTGAGGACAAAGAGGTTGGATGGGGCAGCCTGCTGGTGGAAAATGTGTGGATGGCAGTGACTGTACACCATCAGGGCTTCTCAGTACCCGAGGGTTAGGTCACCCTTGCAGCACTGGTGAGTTTGGAGGACCCATGGACCCACATAACAGGTGAGAAAACCTGTAAAAGTAAGGGATGTCCCTACCCCTGGAAGCAGTAGGGTGGCCTTGGGTGTCTGACAATTGCCTTTCCCTGGGTGCCTGCATCCTAAAAAAGGCTCACCTAGGATGCCTCTTCTCCCCCACACAGCTACAGTCTGCTTTTGCTGACCCCTCTGTTCTCTCCTCCTTTCCTGTGGTCAATCCATGGAGAAGCCACAGGGACAAAGGCTTGCTGGGCCTGAGATAACTTGCTATTGCAGCTCAGGTCCCTGCCCTCAGCAAGACACACAGTCCTCAGCTTCTCTGCCTCCTAAACTTGAAAGGCCAGGAGCATCCAGGGCACCCTGGAGGAGGCAGCGACTGCTATCTTCCGCTGGCAGAGCTGCTCAGCTGCACATCTTCTCCACAGTCCTTTGGTTCAACAGTCCCCAGGGGACCTTCATGCGGCTTGGACCCCCTAGGGAGAGCTCAGTTTGGACTGCATATTGGTGTTGAGACGAGTTTATATTTCCCTCCCACCCACAGGAAGAAACAGGCAAGAACTTGCTCTCTGTCCTGACCCCAATGGCCATCTCTGGCCCAGGCACTGTCCTTACTCACTTGGATGGTGCCGAGCCCTCCACCCTCATCTCTCTGCTCATAATCATCCCCATTTCTCAGCTCCATAGCTTGACTCTTCCCCTTCCTTGGCCCCTGCAGCCATTTGTTTCTTCTTTCTTCCCTGGACCCCATGCTTTGTGTACATTCTGTTTACTCACCTCCCTCCTGTCCTGCATTGGGTTTCTACTTAAAATCCTGATGATCACCTATCTATCCCCTCCCCTTCATCCTGGTTTCTTTCTTTCCATATCTCACATGGTTCAACCATCATCATCATCATCATCATCATCATCATCATCATCATGTTTTTTTTTTTGTTTTTTTTTTCTAGACAGGGTTTCTCTGTGTAGTCCTGGCTGTCCTGGAACTCACTCTGTGACCAGGCTGGCCTCAAACCCAGAGATCCATCTGCCTCTGCCTCCCTAACACTGGGATTAAAGGTGTGTGCCACCACATCCAGCTTCAATCCAATTTTATAACATCTGTGGGAAAGGTCTTTTCTATCAACCAGTTAAATAAGACATAACTTAACTGAAAATAAAATATCTGGATGTGGTGGTGCATGCCTTTAATCCCAGCACTGACTTGGGAGACAGAGGTAGACAAATTTCTGTGAGGCTGAAGTCAGCCTGGTCTACATAGCAAGTTCTAGCAAGTTTCAGGCCAGCCAGGGCTGCATAGTGAGACCTTATTTAAAGAGGAAGAAGAAGAAGAAGAAGAAGAAGAAGAAGAAGAAGAAGAAG